ACACGATGGCGCTGAGCGATCAGGAAAGGACGCAACGCTCTCGCCTTTGAAACCAAAATGAAAGCTTTTGTTGTTGGGGGGGGAGGGTTGTCATCCCCCCCCCTTTAAAAAAAATCCTATAATTACCAAGATTACAGTCTTAAGAATTATGTTGGATGTTTCAGGCTTGTGCTTTGAACAATTCGGTGAAAGCAAGAACACCCGGGTTACAGATTACTGATGTGGAGTGGCATGTGATGCGCGGAAGGGGGACCCTGGAGGCAGAGAGAAGCACTTGCCAAGCCCTTGAAGGGTGCAGAAGGTGGGGGACCATCCGCTGGAAAGCGGCTTTGCATTTGGCAGCTCCCTTGGCAGGGCAAGGGTCTTGGGGTGCTCAAGGTCTGGCTCTTCCGCAGGCTGGTCACATTATCCTTAGTCCAGGATTTACAGGGCACTAGTGGCACCACCTTGGATGGGCCAAAGGACCATTGGGCCTAGGGCTGGGCTTATTCCAAAACTCCTGCAAGCATCGGGGTCCCCTGGTGCTTGGAGGTAGACTACCTCTGTATCTGGCTGCTCCATCTTGGCTAAGAGCCTTCTCCTCCTCCAGAGCTTCAGCCAACCGCTTTAACAGAGGACAAGATGATTGGACAGGGTCATGGAAGCGAACAACATGAATTTGACCCAACCCCGGGAGGCAGTGGAAGACCGGAGGGCCTGGCGTGCTCCGGTCCATGGGGTCACGAAGAATCGGACACAACTTAACGACTAAGCAACAAGAACACATCTCTGGCACTGACTTTATTGATTTTGTCTCTGTTTACTCTGGTCTTGTACCCTTCCTGATCATCCGTGTTTCTAGATCTTGTCTGTCCTGATGCTTTTTTAAGACTTAATTTTTCAGTTTTCAAAATGTTTCTAAAATTAAACCACTAAGGGGGTTTAATTACTGGGTGTTGCAGGAACAAATGAAGGTCACTGTCCAACCAACCGCAGTCACACAGAGAGGATAGAAGTCATCTGAATGGCAATGGCTTTATGAAGCCTCTGTGTCTCAACCTCAACCAAAGGAAGATTTGTGTTCTCTGTCTGCTCCTTTATTTGCCTCCTCAGCCTTGTCACATGCCTTCCACTCCTTTCCCAGTGCTGTCAAAATTTAGCCTGTAGCCTCCTTGGGGCAGAGACCTTCTGCTCTTAACACTGCTGTGGTGTTGCAATCTGTTCCACACTTTGATGGAACCTTTGTCTTCTTTGATGGTGCTGTGACAGGTTTCCCTCGTTGCTAATTTTACCTCAAAAATCTGCATGCAGGATCTGACACACACACCCCAGCTTCTCCCTCCATGTCCCCCCCTCTCTCCAGTCATCATGGCTAGGAGAGGGAAAGATGCTCTTCCTTTTCTCAGGGAAAGTTCCTTGCTTCAGCCACAGCTGAAGAGGCTATAAATCCCCCTCGAATCTGTCCCCCAGGAGGCGGCATCTGGGCCCAGTAATTAACCGGCTGGCACGAAAGTACAGCGAGGCTTCGCGAGGCTTGTCGGCCAAGAGCTCAAAGATTGAGCACTAAAGGAAGCTGCACGGATTTGAAGCTTCACCTGTGACGTCCCTCTTCCAAAGGACTGCAGGAATTAGAAAGGAAAAGAAAAAAACACACACAGACACTCCAAAAGCAAGGAAGCTGCCTTATGCAACAGCTGGGGGAAGGAGGGAAGGTGGGCAAGGGGGTTTAAGGAGTCAAGGAAGCCCCCTCCCCTCTATAACTAGTCAAAGCCTTCTCCTGGCAGAAGTGAGGAAGCAGCCCCTTTCTGCCGGCTAATCTCTACGGGGCAGAGACACTGAGAAGCATCAGGAAATCGCTGTGAAGCCTCTAAGAGAATACGTGATTGATGTGAAAATGGGATATGAAATGAGTGTCTTCGAGATGCAGCAGCAGGCTCCGTTTTGGGACCCCCGTCGGAGGTCTTCTTGGCCAAGGAGGCAGGGGTGGGTGGGACGGTCGTGGTGTTCTCCGAGTCTGCTCCGCCGAGAACTGACACCCCCCCCTTTTCCAGGGCACCCACCTTTACAGAGGGGCCTCGCTAAGCAAGGTGTCTAAGCGCCCAGAATAATGGGGCAGAACCTTGCAACTCTCTCCCGCACCATAAAAGAGATTTACAGCCGGGTTCGGTGTGTCACCCTCGCAGGTCTGACGCAGTGCAGATTTGCGAACCCTGCGGTTGATACCGTTCCCCTTGCTCCCCTGCTGCTCGCCAGCTTTAGGCTGAGACCTCTCGAAAAGCTCCATTTATTCACCCAAGTTATGCGTGTGCGTGTGGAGGGCGGCGAGGAAGTCTGGGCCTTTCCGTTGGAACTCTGCGCTCCGTGGATCTTTTCTTCCGGCGTCATCCACGTACAAATGTCATTACATAATAAAAGAATATATATTCTTGCCCCTCTGTCTGCATTTTTTTAACCTTACTTCTAGCGATGGGATTTCCAGATGGCTTGGACTCCTCCTCCCATAATTCCCCACTCTAGGAGTTCTACCTGACTTAACACATACCATATAGACACACAAATGTAGCTCGCCTGAAAGGAAGGCTTTGCGGCTGGGCTAGGCCTAGCTCCTGCCTCAGAACTAGCCAGGAACTTTCTTTTCAAACAGGAAGTCTGGGTGGAGCTAGGCCTAGCTCAGCCACAAAGGCTTCCTCTTTAGGGATTTCTTCTTCCAGGTGAGCCACATTTCAGTGTCAGTAAAGTACTGTGGTGCACTGCTTGACGATTACCCTGTTTGACGATGAAATTGCTTGACGATGAGTTTTTTGCGATCGCTATAGTGATCGCAAAAAGATGAATCAATGGATTTTTTCCTGTTTTACAAGGATCGGTTCCCTGCTTCGAGAACCGGTTTTTCGCATTACGATGATTAAAAACAGCTGATCGTTGGGGTTTCGAAATGGCCACCTGCTGTTTTCTGGACTTAGCGATGCAAAATGGCTTCCCCTATGGAGGATCTCCACTGGACGAGCAGGTATTTCCCCCATTGGAACGCATTGACCGGTTTCCAATGCATTTCAATGGGGTTTTTTTCCGCTTGACGATGATTTCACTTAACAGCGATTTGCCTGGAACGCATAATAGTCGTCAAGCGGGGCGCCAGTGTATGCATAAAGTCAGGCAGAATTGCTAGAATGGAGAATTATGGGATTTGTAGCCCAAGAAATACAATAATCTCATCCTTCCTTGCTGCCTGTTTCCCAGAGCCTCCCTCTTAACCATCACAAGCATAGCCCTGAGCCCCTGCACATTTCCAATACAAATACCAAAGAATAGCTCAGTGGTTCAGGTCTCTGGCTGCGGATTCAGAGGCTGGGAGTTCGATTCCCCTTCTGTGCCTCCTGCCCAAGGGCCAGAGTCTGTGGTCCAATGGGTCCCTTCCAGCCCTGCCCTTCAGTTCTCAGGTTATCTCACTCACCATCTTCTACCATGGTGGGCAAAGGAAAGGAAAAGGATAGGCAGGGTCTGCAAGGGGCCAAACCCAGTCTGGGGAAGGAAGGAACCATAGGGCCCTCCTGGGCAAAACGCCTCCTTTGGCTACTGATGCAGGGAAGGACAGCCAAGACCACGTCGTGGTAGGCACCAAATTGGGGGGCGCTGTTATGGAAGCAAAGCAAAACTGGCACGGAGGGGCACACCTGCTGAACCCCCTCTTTCTCTGGCTAAGCACTCACGGTCCCCATGCCTTTTGTAAGAAAGGCCGTGACTCTTCCAGGCTCTCCGCATGCCTGGTTGTCGGTCTCCTGTGCACTGAAATGGACCCGTTTGCTCACTGCACGACAAAGCCCAGCCATGAGGCTCGGAACAGGAAAGGAACGAGGGCCTTTCTTCCTCTGACGTCCATGGGTGGCCTTGGTGCAACTCTCAGAAGGCAGAAAATCATGGGCCACAGCTCCATGTACACTCTTAGCCCCGTTCTTTCTCTCTCTGGCTCAGTTTTGAATGCCCCCCCCCCGCAGGAGGGGACCCAGATGGCGGTTCCGTGGCTTGCCAGTGGCGACCTCTTGATCCCTTGAAATCAAATAGAGCTTCGTGGTTGAAACTGAGTGTCTGTTGCGGCCAACCCATTAAGCTTTCTCTGTCAGCAAGCAGATATTGATCTAAGCGGGTTCTTGGGCTCATCTGCCCTGCCATATTCCTTCCTTCCCCAGGTATCTCTCAGGTCCCTTCCGAGGCCTACCTCTGTGCATGCTCAGGGGACCCTTCCACTTTGCATTTCCCCTTTGGCTAACCCAATCGCAATCTGGTCAATTTCATAACCCTAACCATATTTGATCTAGTCATTTTCACTGCCCTGTCCGGTCAGTTTCCCCCAGGGCTGGCTTTCCCTGCTGGCTACTTAGTTCCGAAGGATCCCTAAAAAGCTTTCAGCTCCTGCCCTCCCCAACCTCACAAGAGGAGAAGGGGAAGACCTATGGCTGCGGAGCATGCGCCACAAAAAGTGGCCCATCTACTGACTGCCCCTCCACCAGGCAGAAAGACACATTTCGGGCACAGATTTCCCCTTAATCCTGGAACGATTTGGGGGTTAGGGAAAGCAGCGCCGTGAAATCTCATCGCCAGAAGGAAGGTGACCTTAGAAGTGCAGTCCATCGCTAACTGAATAAATAAAAGAAATAAGGCCAGGGCTTTTACTGGGCTCAGGACAACCCCATCATGCATTTCAGGAAGACCGAAGCAAGCCACAGAGTCGGCGGCGGGGTGGGGGGGAAGAGACCTGAAGACACCCCCTTGGATATTTTGGGGGAGACGTGTCCTTGCTACTCCCCCCCCTGGTGAAAGAGGAAAGGTCAAATGATTCCCAGCGCCCCTCTTTGTCAATGTTGCAAGGTGAATACATAAGAACGTCACTGGTGGAAGGCACTCAATGGGGGCTGGAGGGTGGAAGAGCGACCCCCTGGTCCTCTGTCCGAAAGCCACCCGTTCGCAAGGCCACTTCCCCCCACGTTCCCAGCCACAGGCGCCCAGCCCTCCTGGGTACTCACACATGGGCTTCAGCTGGCCGATCAGCTCCTCTTTCGTCCATTTCGCCCATTCCTTTTTGTCGGTGTTGATGGAGCATAAGATGGGCCCGCACGGCTTCCCGCAGTCCTCGATGGCAGGTACATTCAAGTAGTGGACCAGCACAATGTCCGGATTCTACAGGAGAAAGAGAGCACACAAGACGTCATGGAACACCCCTACATGTTCCGGCTGCTGTTGCAAGCGTGTGTTTGTTGTTAATGGACACCTCCTGCTAGTCGATAAAAACTCCAGAGGAGCCTCAGACTGACAGACAACATGAAAGGAAAGGTTTCTCACTGGTTTGATGAATTCTTCCTGTCTTCTCCCCCTCACTATAAACTACAGTGGTGCCTCGCTTAACGATTACCTCGTTAAACAATGAATCCGCTTTACAATGAAGTTTTTGCGATCGCAAAATGATGTTCCTATGGGGAAAATTCGCTTGCCGATGATCGGTTCCCTGCTTCGGGAACTGATTTTTCGCTAAACGATGATTTTAAAACAGCTGATCGGCAGCTCTCAAAATGGCCACCCGCTGTGCAAAATGGCTCCCCGCTGTGTTTAGGACGGATTCCTCGTTTAACAGGCACCGGAAAATGGCCACCCTATGGAGGATGTTCACTGCATGATGAGGTATTTCACCCATTGGAACGCACTGAACGGTTTTCAATGCATTTCAATGGGTTTTTAAATTTTGCTTGATGACAATTTCGCTGAACAGCGATTTGAATGGAACGGATTATTGTCATCAAGCGAGGCACCACTGTAGTCAGTTAGTGAAACTACGATTAAGCAAATTTAAAATGACATCAGACAGCAGCAAAAAGAGGGGAGGGTGGGAGAGGACGAAGGAAAACAGCAGCTCCAGTTTCTACCTGATAGTCTACTACAGCAAAAGTCACAAAAAGTGACAAAGCACCTTAAAAAAAAAATAACAAGTTTTATTTGGTGTAACCCTTCAAGGACCTCCGCAGAGACATAAATAAACAGACCAACAGTTCTATGGTGGAGAAAAGCATCCGTCTCTAACCCAAGCGCTGGCAAAGAGATAAACCAGTGGTGCTTCATGAAATCAGAGGGGCGGCTGGGGACAAGAGCACAAGAAATTTTAAATAAATAAAAGTGTCTGGACCATATTCCGTTTCATAAACTAACTATGCACCAGGGTGGCAGAACGGAACACTGAGCAGAGAACGGTTGGTTAAGACATGCAGTGGGGGGAAAAGCCCTAGTTCCTGTTCAAGTCAAGGGAGGCAGAGTTGAATTGCTGTGTGTGTTTTTGTTCAGCTGTTTCTATGAGCCTTTGAAGTTCTTTAGTTCATGGATGGCCATCTTGAGCATTCAAGAAGAGTGAAGTCTTGGTTCTGAATGCTATTGTTTCTCATGTCAGATTTGTGACCCTTTATTCTTTTGTTCCTGCCCTAGACTGATTGTCCTTTGTGAAATGGTGTGAGGGCATCCTCTGGCATGCACTCTACCACGCTACCTACTTGTGGTCGTTTCTGATGCCACCCTGCGTCACCTTGGGGCCATGAGAGCCCATAGCAGCTGCGGTTGCAGTGCAAAACCAGAAGGAAGGGGACTGTAAAAATAATTCCTCGGAAAAACAAACCTGAAATTGTCAGAGGCCGGATGCATTTTTATCACTTGACTAACTCAGATTGCAGGTGGATGGGATCCTAACTTGTTAAGGAGGAACCCAAGAGGAATACCCCAAAACTGAAAACTTTAGGCTAGAAAATTCTATTGGTCTACGAGGAGAGATGCTTTAATATCCATCAATCAAACAATGCATCAAACAGGCATTGTTCTAGTTCTGCATCCTTGTTCCACTGTGTTTGTTGCATGTCTCAAGACATGAACAGATCTTCCAGCGGGGAGGACTGCCAGCTTCCCTGAGATTTTAGGGCTAAATCCCAAGGCACTTGTGGGGGGTCTTGGGCACTTGTGACCCCCCCAAGGAGGGGGAGGCCTGTGTGAGCAGCCACAAAATAATATGTGTAAGAGGAAGAGAAAAATCTGTATTCTTGGCATTATCTCCTTAAACAACCCATATATAAACCCCTTTGAGCTCAGCCATTTGGGAATGGGGAGTAGATGGGTCCTCGGGCTTTAGAGAATCTTCTCCCACAAAAATCCAGTTTATTATTATTATTATACAAGAAGCAGCAGTGTGCTGTTGATGCAGGCCGCCTGCTCACTCCCACGTGTCGTGCAACATGGGGTGTTTTGCGTGGTGCCTTCACCAGCATCTGCCACCCTGACTCTGGTCTGTTTCCCCACCGCCTGTTACCAGCCACAGAAAGAAGCCTAGAATAAACCTGGCTGTAAAAGGCCTGCGAGATGCTCTCGGCTTCTGCTCAAGGCCAGGCTTTTAAATTTCATTAAGCACCCAGAGCTGAAAGGAGGAGAGGTCAGGACGGCGTAGAGAGGTAAAGTTTTTGAAGGCAATAAAACAGCAGTTGAAATAAATATTCGATTGCCTTTATTGGGAGCTGGAAAACGAACAGTTAAAAAAAACGGCACAAGAGCATTCAAAAAATTTAGGAAGTAAATGGCGGCCGATCTCCCAGCGTATTTTTCAAGGACAGTATTTTCTTGTGTGAAGCAGGACAGAAGACGGGAGAGACAGACAGCCAAGATGCCAGGATGGTGGGACCTTCGAGATGCCTGCATTTGGCCAAAGGATGGTGGAATCCTGAAGACAGCTCTTGTCTGGTGGGTTCATATTCTGCTTGTTTGGTGAGTTTTTGAAAAGAGCTTCCAAGGCTAATTTCGGTTGCGAAACCACGAAAAGAAAAATCAGCCTGGAACCCTCAATGCAGGAAATATACATTTCTGAGTCCTGAGAAATCTCAGGCAAAATCAAGGCAGGTTCTATGCATGGCGAGCCTGTGAGGATGAATATTTGCCGGTGAAACGATGCAAAAAAGCGATGCCCACTGGAACTGCATAATCCAGGAGAGGGGTGAATCTCGGTTTCATCTCCAGCAGGCAGAGTGGCGTTTCAGCGCTCTGCATTATGCAAAACAGTCAACACAGTGGAAGGAAATTTCATCAGAGGAAAACTTAGGGGAATCTGCTTAGCTCGTATATTCCACGCAGGTTGCAAATTTAAGTTTCCTCTGGTTCAGTGTGCGGATCGCCGGAGTGTGAGTCTGGAGGCCCCCCCGCCCGATGTAAATAACGGAAAGGCAGGTTGCTCCGAGCTGCAAATTCTGCCTGACTCAAAATATTCCCAGAAGAGCCAGCTGCCAGAGACTTAGCGCAGCCACTTAAGACTAGTTCCACAAACTTTCCAGCGAAGAACTTCAACTCGAGTGTTTATTGGTGTGCGTGTGGGTGGGTCTGGGCGCAGACAAATGAATAATCTGAAGAACAACATGACAACCGAACAACAACCCCCATGACAGATAGCTACAAGATTGAAAACTTGATTTCGCTCCCCGAAGTCATTTGCTCCTAAATTCACAAACTTTAATGACTGCTCTGGAATTATTTATAAAAAAATAAATAGGATAATGGTGTAATTAAAAATCTAATGTTTCATTAATGCCGCGCAAGGAGGGATTAGGAGAAGGGGCCGGGTCGGTGCGCCAGCCACGGCTGGCGGAAAGGGAGTCGCTTTGCTCCTGGTGAAAGCACCCAAACACCAAATCAGCTCCTTTGCTAACGAGGAAAATTTTACTAATGAATTGATGCTGCGAGGCAATTAATTGCTTGTCCTTCAGATGGGTTTAAGAACACATCAGGGGCCTGGATCAGGCAAAGAGTGTGAAGGGAGGCAAAAGATAACCCCGTTCGCTCATGACGGAGGCAAACGGGCAGGAGAAGCAGGCTTTCCCCTCTTCCCACCAGGCACCCCCCCGTGTCTACATGGGGGTCTCGAACAGGAACCCCACAAGCATCGGGGCTGGGGGCTCACGTGATTTGTCCTCATGTCATTTTTTAAATTTATTATTATTATTTTCTAATTTAGGGTTAGTTTTACTTGGGAGAGCCGTTGTGGAATCTCTCCACACGGCTCGTTGCCTGGATTGCTTCCCGTGGGTATCGCAGAATGTCAGAAGGATAAAACTGTAGAAGCGGAAGAGAATCTCCAGAGTCACTCAAAGGTCATCTAGTCCAACCCCACAGATGCAGGATATTCACCGCCTACACCTTCCTGAGAGATGGCCAGCCAGCGTCTGTGTGAGAAACTCCAACGCAGGAGTGTCCCACCCCTTTCCAAGCAGCTCTAAAGGATGGTCACTCTCAGATTTAGTCAGAATCTCCCTTTTCTGTTCTTTCAGTACTTTGGGGGGGTGGGAATAGGTCAATGAGCCTTGTGTTCTATATCCATTTACCGTAGTTTTCATTGTATAAGACTATAAGGTAAAGGTTCCCCTTGGCATTTTTAGTCCAGTCGTGTTCGACTCTAGGGGGCGGTGCTCATCTCCGTTTTCAAGCCGTAGAGCCAGCGTTTGTCCGAAGACAGTTTTGGTTGCCACGTGACCAGCGTGACTAGGGAACGCCGTTTTACCTTCCCACCGAGGTGGTACCTATTTATCTACTCGCATTTGCATGCTTTCGAACTGCTAGGTTGGCGAGGGGCTGGGACAAAGTGATGGGAGCTCACTCCATCACATGGATTCGATCTTACGACTGCTAGTCTTCTGACCCTGCAGCACACAAAGGCTTCTGTGGTTTAGCCTGCAGTGCCACCATGTCCCTGTATAAGACTATACTTTTGTCTAAAATCTTTAGACTAAAAATTGAGGGTCGTCTTATACATGGAAGTAAGACGAGGAGAGAACAAAAACAAGTGGAGGGGAAAGCAGGGATCAAAGGGATCCTGCAGCGCTTTGATCCCTTTCCCCCTACACTTGCTAAACTCCACTTAGATTTCTTAATTTTGGATTAGAAAAGTGGGGGGGGATCTTATACATGGGGCGTCTTATACATGGAAAAGCACGGTGAATGTCTCAGATGCTTTAAACTGAGCGTTATACATGGAAAAACATGGTGAATGTCTCAGATGCTTTAAACTGAGCTGTTGGTGTTATACTGTAGCAATTAAAATACAGGTGTGCTGAGGTTTTTTGTTCTGTTTCAGTTACAGTGGCTTCTGTATTGTTGTTGTTGTTGTTGTTGTT